GAGAGTAGGCCAAATGGCTTGAGCCATGCCACCAATAAAGACATTAATTTATTTATTTTATTACTTTTTATAGAAGTCGAAAACCAGTATCTGGGTACATGTGAGTGAAACTATTTTGTAGTCAATGTATGATGGAGATGATCATCATTATCATTCTTGGAGTAAGAGATAATAAATCTTGCCAATAATATAAATATCAGAAACTGCAGATGTGTTAAGAGAATTTTCTCCTTAGGTAGGTCAGAAAATTGACGTGTTTTGATTGAAAATTGAGTGTTACTTTTGTGTCAGTACTATAAATCATAAAAATCAAGAATAGTAGTTAAAGATAGATGCTCCACAAATCAGCTCAATCAGCCCCTCTGCTGATAGGCCCTTACTGAAGAAGTTGTTTCATAAGAGATGATAATAAAGAACGAAAGAATGAGTGTTTGTTAATTTTATTACGGCTCTTACATTGTAAATGTGTATCTTGGATGGCTCAAAGGCCACTTCCTATCTTTCCATGGTGTGAACCTGGGTTTGATTTTTAGTTGAGGTAAATATATTGTAGTTTTCATTTAAAAGTGTCTCAGTTTCTGTAGCTGTGAATCAAAGAAGAACTCAGGTAGACAAAGTTTGCTAGTTACTATAAAGTGATTGCATCATGTTTGCCTCTCTTAACTCACAAGCATAGGAATTAAACTAGCTCAGTCATTGGTGACATCATTAGGTAGCTGACAATGTTGAACAATCAACCCAAAATGACAAATACATTGTAAATGTGAGATTCATTAGATTTGCTTCATGATGTAAATTAATTTAAGAATGCAGTTCTAGACTAATTTCTCATTACTACAATGTAAGTATTGCATTCTGGTCGATACAAATTCTGGAAAAAGAACTATTACCAGTAAATAAATCATGTCTTTTTTATATGACACCAATCATTAAACACTACTCAGCCTACAGAGAAAACATGTAACTTGTTTTTGATCACCATATTCCATTATTCAGGAAAAATTTGAAATAAACAAAAGTAATTCTTACAACTAGTTCACACACTCTGTTTATTTTGTCTTGAATATGGTGTGGTCTTTTCACATTGATATCTGCTGTAGCCAGCTACCAACCAAATTGAATAATTGAGTAAAAGTAATCTTCTTTGATAAATACATTTTATTTACAATGATGAGAAAATGTTTGAATAGTACACTACAGATGCTATAAGAAGCAACATTATGCACTATTAATCCAATGAATTTATTATAGTACTAGTTGCATAATAACTTCATTAAAACACTGACAATTCTTTTTGATGAAAAAAGAATGGCATTGTTCAAAACAAATGAGTAACATTACACTCTTAACTATCTTTATTAAAGTAGTAGAAATCCATTATAATATCTCACTATCATAGAAATAAATTTAAAAAATAAGAAATGACTTTGTAGTTTTTATAGACAAAATTTGAACAGTACATTTGATATAACATCAAATGAGGATTGCTTTGGCACCAGAAGGCACTAGCCAGATGTCCAAATCATACTTTTTCCTCAACAATGATTATGGTTCACAATATGTAGGAGTCAAAATTGAATGGATAATTTATTTAGATTTTACATAGAAAGAACTAATCATCAGTAGATAGATTCCTGTATCATGAATCAAGGTTTGTGGAGCAATAACAATCTGTTGACTGGCACATCAGGACTATCTTACTAAGTCTGCTGCCATTGTTTACTTATTGGAGCTACTTGATGAAACAGAGAATGCACTTTATATTTTTATTATCATATAAGAATTGGATTGTACATATTGAGCAAAAGAAGGCAGGACCTCAAGACTTCCTTAAATGCAGAGCTAGATTTATGTCTGCTTGACATAAGCATATGAGTACAATTGTTTTCCCCCCTGTAAATTTAGTACTTTAGCCAAATGATCAATGTTGCTTTAAAGTCAGAATAAATAAAGGTTATAATTTAACAAAATTTTCATGAATTTCTCCACAAAAATCTTTTTATTTCAGTTATAAAATGCATAAAACATGGAATTATTCCTATAAATCAGAAGGTTCTTAACAATCTGCCCTGTTCAAGTTCTAAGGTACTTATTAATAAGAAATGTGAGTAAGAATTTAGCACACTTCTAGCTCATAAATACACTTGATCAAAGATATTTTTCAAATTAAATGTCTCAACATATTGCGAAAGACTAGCATCAATAGAACAAAGGTGTGGCAGCTATGGAATATTAGAATGAAATTTCATTATCATTGTTTATTTTTCACCCTTCCTCCTTGCTGCAAATATTTTTTTGTAATCTTTCAATGCTTTGTTGTCATGAAAAGATTTAAGTATTTTCTAATGATAATTTCTTCTCTAGGATAATCCAATCCAAATAAACATTTGTTGATTCAATCCAGGTATGACTTAAATTTGAATTTGTGCTATCTCTCACTTCATATTTTGAAAGGTGCAACCTTATTTATCCTACTCCAAGAGTACTTGAAATAATAGTGCCAGTTGCACATCTTTTCTGCAATTGTGGTTTTTCTTCTATTTAAATTTGCAACTTCTCAACTGCAAATGGATATTATTTGAGTAAGTATTAAGCTGATGTATTACTTTTCAAATATGAATGTGAATTACAAATGACATTTCATTTTACCTAAGGAGCACACAAGTGTGTTTAGTTATCTGCCAATTTCATTACGTGAATTCATGTCTTCATTGCAGAATCTCAGAAATTAGTGAAATGTTTGCATTTCTTTTCACTTAAATAGCCACACCATGCTTTTTTCTTCCCAAATGATTATTCTTAAAATATGCAGATGCAAAGATAATTAGCAGGTTTGAAAATGATGTTTATTTGTAATCCCCTATATTAGACAGAATGAAATAAGGAAAATGCATTACAGTTGGCAGAAAATTGTTTACTAACAAGATTTACAGATACTTTATTTTGTGTATTTACATAATTATTTGTTTTTAAAGAAAATATCCCAATAAAAAGAAGAAAAAGAAGAGTAATACTTGAGATGAGTTTGTAGGAATTGCGGTTAAGTTGGAATCATTGTAAGTCACCACAATTCAAATAATAATGGGAGTTTCTACAAAATTTATTAGTAAGGAATAGCATTGCTCTTCTGAATACAGATATCACTAATATTTAAATTATATTCGGTTCGGACCAGGATTTATTAACCAGAGACCTAAACATTGTTAACTTTATTTTAGTATGTTACATTAAAAAGGATTTAAAACAAGTGGTGCTGCAACAGAACACACATTCTCACATTATATCTAACTTCTGCAGTTTTTGAAAAATTCAGGAAGTTCAATGAAAATGAGACTTGCACTGTTCTTTTAATTATTCCTTGTTCTATTTGTGGAAATGTTTAAAGGAAATATCTGAACCATTTTTGAGACACTTCTCATTTCCAAAATTTGCATTAGCTTCAAGCAGACTTTGGGCAAAACCTACTTGTTTTTTCAAATAATTGTACTATTAAAAAGATCTAATTTTTTAGAAAATATTTTTCTTAGGACAAACATTTTTATCTTCAAAAATGAAGTTTTGTAATGTCCACTTTTTGCAATTTTTGACAATACAGAGAGTTTGAATTTGGGAGTAACACCAATATTTTAAGTCCTTTGATACATACGGGGAGAAAATTTAAAGAAAAAATTTGGAGATGTTTTGAGAAAAGAATAGTTTAAAAATTTTATGGAAAATTACGTGAAAGCTACTTATATTTTCAAAAAAATTTATATGACATCAATTTAAGATCTGACTCTCAACAATAGATTTTATTAAAGAAACACATCTCTGTCTTCAATATTGTCAATAAATCATATTAGTTGTAAGGAAGCCATTGAAAAATATTGAACTTTTGCAGTTTTAGAAAAAACAGATTTCAACAAGAATGAGACCTGCTCCATACTGCTAGAATACCATAGGTATACCAAGGGAATTTAGCTTATTTGGTGATTCCATTATATTATTTCTGTGATCTCAGAGTCTTTGCCTAATTTTCTTTTTGTTTATTTATTTAACATAAAAAATTGTTAAAATCTGTGTGTGACTTGCCTATCCTAAACCATACACAAGTTGAATTCTAAATATGAAAGTGAGTGTTTTTGGCAAGAATTGATAAGAAAATATTCACTCTCATTTATTAAAAACTATTTTCAAAGGCAAATGAGCTAAAGGTTTGGGCTATTATTCATAATCATGCCCTCGTAAAGAAATTGACTTACTGCCGTGAGAAGACAGAGAATAATAATTTCTTATAAACAAACAGAAAAAAGTTACATTTATGTCCAGAAGTAAAACAAGGGCCATATCGGCATTTTCTCTAAGTATCAGAGAAACTGGACAAACTGGAGTTCAACGAGATGGGTGTTACCGCACTAGAAGCTGAGGTACGCTCTTACAGGCTTACTTGGTCTTATTTAATTGAGAAATAGTTATGCTGCAGAATAAAATTGCTTGGCACTTAAACTTCTGTAATTATTTAATATTATCTGGCAATGCGATGTAAAATAATGTATGTGCATTTTTTGTAGTGAGCTGTTGATACCGACACCTGATGAATAAGATTACTACGTAGAGTATTATAGTTACAGACATCAGTATTCAGTGAAAGTATGTTCCTATCCTTGAATAAGTCATTTTTGAGGAAGAAAACTGATTCGTAAATCAAGAGGTAAGGTATGATAAAATTTGTAGCTTAATGAAGACAGTTTTACGAGAAGGTTTAGTATGTACCCGTACCCTCTGAGCTTACTTTGACCTATTTATGCGAGATTGTTTCTGATTTTTACAAATATTTTCTTAATGTAACTCCCACGAAAAAATAACACCTAAACTTTCATGAATAAAAACTGGATCAAACCGAATTTAATTTTAATAAATAATTTATATTCGGCGCGGATCTTGTGTAGTTCAGAGAAATCGATTTGTGTTCCCCGATGCGATCTTTCGATCCAGAATATCGAAAGCGCCGTCGTGACGTCGTGACCGTCGTGACGTAAGAGGACTGAGGCGTGTTAGGTTTTCTGAGATGTTTTGCAAATGTCAGTTCCGTAGGAAACTCATTGTAAAATCAGTTTCCTTGATGGTTATGTCGATGTTTACCTGGTGGGGCTGAATGCCCTCCACAGCTTGTATTCGGTCGCAAAATTTGAATCCCTGCGAATTATTTTCGGTTATTTGCAGAATTGGGTGAGTGAAATTTGAAACTTGCATTTTCACGTCGAAAGTAATGTTTTGATTGCGAGATTAGTTTTCATAACCAGTTTCGATACTGTGCATGTACCTCCAGACAAACAAATAACAGTAACATCTATCATGCTGGTTAAATAACGTATGTATTCATTCGTTCTTATCAAACATGTTTGTTTCTTGTGTTGCAAGACATGAGTAATTCAATACATATCTATCTATAGTTTGCTTTGATATGTTTAAATGTTAGAATCCCTACTGTCTTGAGAATTTTTAATTTGTGACATCATTGTTACAATGTCAAAACACAGCTTAAGCTTAAATTATTTCTTTGCAGGTTAAACAGGTGTTGTGAAATATATTTCTCTTTTATTAGCTCTAAACCAAAGTTAAGCTTGGTGTACATTTACCAATGATTTACTTCAACACGCTTAATTATTGTGAATGCGAGAAGTTTCTTATTGTTGTATTATTTTTCTGTATGAACAATATTTTTTGTAATTTTTTTATTTTCAAGTTGCATAATATTATTTCAGCTTTTACTGCCAAAACTCATAGAAAATGACAGATTATATTGATATTTTGTTTTGTTTTGTTTTTTCAGATTGTCACATAAGTTTGAAGATAAATAGAATTCTGCTGAATACCGAAATTCTCTCACTGAATGTTTTCAGCAGAAAACGTAAATTTTTATCGGGATACTTCTCATATCCTATGGAGATGGATTCGAATGAAGGGAAAAATACAGAAATGTTAGCAGAAAGTAGCTGTGATGATAGTCGGAACAGCACACAAACAAAACTCTTGAAGGAATATGAAGAGTGGGCTAAATTGAACAGCAGTCTTCTTACTCTTTCTTCAGATGGTGTATGTGATGATGGAAGAATTTATTTGAAGTTTACTATGGGTAGAAATAAAACTTTCACATTATTCTGCCCTGCGTTGTACCCAAACCATGAAGATAATGTATTTTTTGTTGAAGCAACACCATCACTTCAGTTGTGGTGCAATACAATAAATGAATTTATTTTAGATTCTGATTCACTATTATCTCTGGAGACAATATTGTATAAAGCTGCAGCTTTGTACTACAAAAATGTTCCAAAGTCTCCGTGTAATTCTTCTTCGGATTCAGAAGTTGAAGGTGAAGAAGACATGATGCTAGGTGAGGAGTCAGATGAAGAATGGGAATATACTATTTCTCAAAAGAAGAAACAATGGAGATTGAAAGAAGCCCTTGTGCGAGCAGTTACAAATCAACCTAAGATATCTGATATGTTTGAAGGGAGTGTGAAAGATCATCCCAAACAAGTTTTTAGTAATTCTGGAGCATCAGGAATCTTAACTAATGATTTGGTAGCTTTAATGAAATCTGCAAAACAGACTGGAATTAAAGTAGAAGCTGTGGAAGATAATATTTATCGCTGGTATGTGTTTTTATCTTCATTTAACCGTGATGGTAAACTTCAAGAAGATCTCCACCAACTTCAACAAAAATATGGATACAATTATATCCAGTTGCAGCTTGATTTTACTATGGATTTATATCCTTTTTATCCTCCAATAATTAAAGTTGTACGGCCTAGGTTGCAGGGATCAATGATGTTAAGAGTTGCTAGTTTGGTTAAACTGTCTACTTGGAATCCTGCAAGAGATATGAAATCTGTTCTGGTAGAAATTAAGGAATATCTTGGCACTTGGGCTCGACTAGATGTTAAGAGTGAACGCAATGACCTTAAGAGATTTCCACATGGCTCTTACCTTGACATTGAAAATCATCTTCTTTGGTTAGCTTCTGTGAGTGAAATCGCACCAAGAGCTTGTTTAAGATATCCAGATATTGCTCGTGAGTTTACCTTTTCGCCCGTAAACAATGAGAAATCAAAGAAGCCTAGCAAGAATATATTTCCAGCTGGTACAGGTTTTAGTTCTGATATTCATACTGGATGGGATGTAAATGCTTTTTTGGCAGCCCAGAGAGAAAAAGATAAACAGGTGGAATGTGTTCTTCAGAATATTCTCCAGGAATTGAAGACAGGTTGCAGTGCTATGACCAATGGAAAAACAGGATGGTGTAATAAAGCATGGGGAATTGATGGTACTTATAGCAGCTTTTCTGTCCCTTCTTGTAGTTCAGCCAAAGCATCTGATAGCACATCTAACGATAGCTGCAGGGTTAGCACAACATCAAATCACGTAACAAACAGCGAAAAAAAAAGTGAAGAGAAAATGGTTGTTAACGATGAAGTAGATTGCACTTCTGCGCAGAATGGGATAAATTCTACCGATTTAGAAGATCTCTTCAGTGTGTTAGAGGCGTCTACTCTTGTGCCTTTCTTAGTGAAGAAGTTGCAAGTGGACAGTTTTCTAGAAATCTGCCAGCACACCTCTGTTTATCAACGTGTTGTAGATATTATCAAGGAAATAGCTAGATATCCAGAACTTGTTCCCTTACTTTGGAATCTACCAGAACAGAAGCACTCTATTTACAGTTTAGTTCACAGATTGGAAGATCAAGCGAAGGTAGTCCTTGCAAAAGTAGGTAAAACCTCAGCAAACGGCAACATTCCCAAAGGCAGCAAAGGTGCTAGTTGCTCATCGGTTTCGAGTTCAACACCTGCGGTTTCCGACCAACAGCAATCAGACGATGAAAAGTTGGCTCGTGATTTCTATGAAATGAGCCAAGCTGTGGATGTTGCTTTACAAGATCTGGGACTTCTGGCTTCACAGCCAGAGTTAGGAGCTTTGTTACCTGGCACTAGTCAGGTATACACCAAATCTTTAGCTCAGTCTTATAAAGAAGCGCTCAAGGACATGCAGTTCCTCAGCTGTGACATTGAAGGTAAATAAAGATGATTTTTAATTGTTGAGAATTATTTGCTTGGTGAGTTTGCTTATAATGAATTACTGTAAACATTATGTGACATTTATTTTATGCCTCCTGCTTACAAAACTTGGTGTGTAGCTCAGTGTACAATTTTAATTGCTTTGCCAACACCTTTGATAAAATCTTCACTTCTAATAGAGAAGAGCAAGGTTAAAAAAAAAATTGCAATGTTGCAAAAATTGTTTTGCTCGTTTTCTTTGCCATATTAAAATGTTGGTGTGTGTTTTTGGTTTTATACCCGCACCCTCCTCTTTGCTCTTCTACCCTTCTCTCAGGGGCGGATCCAGCTGATCGTTGTGGGGGAAGAGGCATTGTAGAATTGTTTCATAATAAACATATTTGTTATTATATTGTTTATTATTAATGTACTGTAGATATGATACTATACAATATTATTTTTTAAATAATTACATAATTCAAATATAAATAAATAATTAAATCAATTTTCCCAAATAAAGGAAGATAAATGAAAATTCTAAGCCTTGGGGGGGGGCATAGCTCTTCTGGATCCAACAGTGTCCTCTTTTACCACTCCCCCCACACACACACACACTTACATGCACCTCACATGTATACATCAGTCACACAAATTCACAAATCACTCCTCTCCCACATGCACACACCTCTTCCACACTCGCATCACTCACATTCTATTCATACATCACCCCGTGAAATGCATGCTTTGGAGAGTACATATACACACACAAAGCTAATCCTTGCCCTTCTTCAACTATGCTTTGCGATTTGTAAACTATGTAAAACATTGTACAAGCATTGTACAGCCCAAAACATGTAAGATTATTTGCACTAACAAATATTTTAGGCATATTTTTATAAAATTGCAGGTAAAATTAAAGTTAAAAAATTGTGCATGTTAGTCACATCATTAACTTTCTCATATGCTTCTAATCTCATGAGTTGATGCGAGTACCCAAGGTTTTTACAGAGAATGTGCGGATCTGCAGAAACGGAAGTAAATAATTATTCATTCATTTTAAAAAAAAGACGTGTCCCAAAATCGATGTTACACAATATACTTCAACAAATTAGGATGTTACTGCAGGTATTAAAAATTGTGACCATGTTCAAATCATACATTGTGTATCAAAATTGTACTATCCTTTGATTGAAGTGATGGTTTGATTTGCAGTAACTGGAGTATTTTTATGAATGCTCAACGAGAACATTTTACCTCAGCCATCCGCTGACAGCTGGAGTGGTTTCCTTCCTGTCTTGCTTTCTAATGAATTACTAATGTACCGGGTGAATAACCCCGCCCCCTTAAATTGAAAGAAAGTTGGGGGATAGTGTTCAAACAATGGTCTCTGTTCTACTACCTGCATGCTTCAAATAATTTACTCAAATAGAAGAGTATTTTCTTTCTCCAGAAGTATTTAATAATAACACACACTTTCTCAACTGTTGAAAAAAATAAGATTATTATTACTTTTCGATCTAGTTTGACTAAAACTTTAGTTCTACTTAATTTGTTTGAAAACATTTAACGCATTAAACCATTGTTTTTAGTTTTGTATTTTTTTTTTTTTTTTTTTTTTTTTTTTTTTTTTTATTTTTTTTTTTTCTTCTTTTTTTGTCTTCTTTTTTTTTTTTTTTTTTTTTTTTTTTATTTTTTTTTTTTTTTATTTTTTTTTTTAAAATTTTAAAATTTCTTTTTTTTGTTTTTTTTTTTTTTTTTTATTTGCTTTTTTTTAATTTTTTGTGTTTTTTTTTTTTTTTTTAAATTTTTTTTTTGTTTTTTTTTTTTGTTTTTTTTTTTTTTTTTTTTTTTTTTTTTTTTTTTTTTATCTTTTTTATTTTTTTTTTTAAATTTTATTTTTTTTTTTTTTTTTTTCTTTTTTTTTTTTGTTTTATTTTTATTAAAAAAATTTTTATTTAAAAAATTTTTTTTTTTTGTTTTTTATTTTTTTTTTTTTTTTTTTTGTTTTTAAAATAGATTTTTTTAATTTTGTTTTAATTTACTTAATAAGCTTGTTTAATCAATCATATGTTACAATAATTATCAAAATTGAATGACACATTTTTGGTACTAATGAGTTAATATAACTGAATATTAATGTTAAGTTATTTTAGCAATGTAACGAAACTCTAATAACTAGCACAGGATTAGTGAACATAGTTTTGAAGAGTGTATTTGTGTATGAGCGAAGTTATAAGTGCAGGCAATTGTGCAAATAATTTTTTGCTTGGATATGTTTTCTTTTGTTTTGTTTATTGAATAAGTGTTCTAGGTTGCTGCATAAGACTGTTTCAGTTGCCTGTTTATTTTAGTGGAAGGTGCAAGTGCACATCACTTCAGCTCCGATTTTAAAATGGCCCTCCCTCCAAATTCTGCACAGGTGATGAGGATTGCTCAAGAAATGGCTGCCTTGTCAACCGCTCTGCCCCTTGATCTCGAGTCTGCAATATTCATTCGCACAGTAAGCCATTGTGTCTAATAAAATTATTATTTAATTGTAAGATCAGTTCAGATCAATTTTCAAATGTTTGCTGTTTAGAGTTGTCACAGCCTGTATAATTAAGTTCTCTCTTTTTCAGGATGACGCAAAATGCACATTGCTGAGAGCACTTATAATAGGGTAAGAATGATCAATCCAGGATATCCACTATTAGATACTTCTCAATTTCATTGCAATTTGGGATTAAATGAATGACTGTTAGTTTAGCAATTCAGTTCAATATTGTTTCTTTTTAATGTGTAATGGTGTTTATTTATTTATTTAAAGTTAAAAACGGTTAAAAACTGTGTGTGACATACTATGGGGAGAAGTGTATTCTGTGCACGTTTTCTTAATTCTGGGATCTGTGCTCTAAGCCACATACACGTAAATGAATTCAGCTAGTTGAATGCATAAAACGCATTGACTGATTGTGATGTGATGAGACTTGAAAAATATAGAAATGATAGAAATTACTCGATAATGGAGGATTACTCCACGGAAAGCGCTCAATGCCCAACTTTGGTTAAAGAGACGTATTGCGTCGATGATGATGTGACAAATTAAAGAATTCTAAATACTGAAGGAAATGAGCATTTTTTGCAGGAATCGATAAGAAAATACTTGCTCTGGTTAACGGTTGCCATGTATTGTTTTGGCAAGAGTCTTCTAGATTCTTGATGTTTTGTTGAAAATTGATGTAGATCTATGTGAAGATCTCAGTATCATGCGAACTGTTCAACTGACTGCAATAATCTACTTTCAGAAGCAGAAAAAAATGTTTCACATCCTTTTAATTCGATACATGGGTATTTGTGCTGAGCATCTTGCTTACAATAAACTCCAAAGTGAAATTTCTAGTCATGTAGGGGTATTACCCAATATCTAGTGACCCTTATTCTTGCTAAATCTGTTGCCAACCATTTTGTTTCGCATAGTTTTGAGAGTGTATTGGCCTAATTGTTCTATAATTGAATCTTACTGGCAATTCATTTTATGTTTCGTAATGAAATACATAAAAAAATGTAAATGTCTTATTTTACAACTGTGATAATTAATTTTATATTGACAATGTATTTAAAAACCTTAATTTAATTTACATGTTTTGACGCCCATCAATAATGCAATGAGAACAGTGTTTCATTATGAGAAACTCATGACTTTAATAACATTAGAACCTTCAAGATCTTATTTTTCCTTAATTAGACCCCTTTTGGAATCTGTAATAAAGTTACATAATAAATCACTTTCATATAGTAACAATATTATAATTAAATCACAACTATAATTCACAGATTGTACACTTGTCTCACGTTAGAGGTAAAATTGTTTGAGATGTTCCTATAGATGGTGTAACTTTCATCTATTCCTGTTTTTCTATAATTTGCCAATGCTCAACGTTTGAGTTTGCTTTTTGTTATGATCTCTTGATTAATCCAAGGTTGATTTAAATTTATTCTATTCTTGATATGTGGTGAGTGAGTATTTAAAAGTCCCTCAGATGTTTCACAAAAATTCTCATAGTTAGTTTCATCATTATTGTTTTCAGCATCTTCATTAATATCTATTTTTCGTAATGTATGGAGTTCAGTAAGGTGTCCTAATGTTATGTAGTCTGCTTGAATGAAATTATGTTTTGAGATGGATTTATAAGAAATGCTATTATTCATGGACGATTCTACTTATAGCGATGTCATAATCACCAAGTGATCACTTTGACCAATATTTAGCCTTATAAATGGGGGTGTAATGAAGTCTTCATCATTAGTTATCACTAAATCAAGAATCGCAGGGGTTTGATTTACTCTGTATCTAGTAGGCTCAAATACCATCTGAGTGAGATTTGAGTCTATATAGTATTTAATAAATTCTCTTTCAAATTCTGTGTGTGGAATACCTTCATGTTTGGTCCATGTAATGGGAAAATTGAAATCTCCAAATATAATAACCGGTATCTTCTGGTCTCATACCATAGCCATTTTCTCAAATAGTTTGCGATCTGATTGCCGAGGTCTTGTGTTGGGTGATGGTAGTCTTTATATTCCCCCTACAGCACATAGTATGTTCCTATATTCTTGTTTCAACCAGAATGCTTCAACATCAGGGTTTTGTATTTCATACATATTTGTCACTTTGACAATCACACTTTCCAATTTTTTGTTTCCTATACATTATTACTCCCCCTCCTCGCCTGTCCAGCCTGGCTTTGTGTGAAAGAAGTCAGAAATTGATCAAACTTTAGATGGAGAGTGGCAATGTTGGTGTACATAATTTTTGTATTTGTGGCCGAGTTGCTTGTTACTGCCTTTTTTCATTTCCCTCCCCGCCTACAGTCTGCAGAATCCCCCTAATGTATTTAATGACAACTTTTGGGTCTGATTCTTGTCTGCTTTTTAGTTCTGCACTAAGATCTTTCAATTCAGATCTCCACATTGGGGTTCGATCATTCTTCTTTTCTAGCTTTTCGGTTCTCGGATCATTCTTCGGTTCTAGCTTTTTAATTCCATGAGGAAATTTCTTTTGTTTTTTAAAAATATTTTTGGCAGTAACAGATTCTCTTAAAATTATATTGACAGGTCTTGGTCTAGAATCCTCATCCTCTAAGATCAGTTTTCGCAATCGAATAGCATATTCAATGTTTTGGTCAGCTTCTATATCCAGTTTTTTCTGTAATTTACAACAATTAGATCTTCAGATTTTCGAGTTTCAACATCATCCGTTCTTGATTCCTCTATGTCTGTGATCTGGTCCCCTTATATATAGTATTGACACTACTGTGAGAGTTCAGAAACAGATTCCTTTGTCAGATTGTATATATAAACAACATCACCATGTCTGGGTTCGGCCATGACTTTTCTCGGGTCTACGAAATGTTCGATATACCGTCATTATCTTGGAGAAGAGACTATAATGACTTGTTATTTTTGTAAAATGTCATTAAAAAACATATTGGTTGTAGTAAAATATTATCTATGTTTTTTCTGCACTATGAAGAGATTTACCAGAAATCAAATATTGTTTAGCACTAAATTTTGTAGATCCAATTACGCCACCAGCAATATTATTAACAGAATCTGTAAACTTGCGAAATATTTTCGTAACTTTCTAGACTTCATTGAGCCTAACACAATATGCTTTAAAGCTCACTTGAAAAAAGTCTTGTCTGTATCTAACCCATTTTACTTGATATATTATGACAATTTTTATTTTATTGCTTTTATTGTCTAATTATTTTTGTGTTATTCTACTATATATTAATTTTTGTAAAGGCTTCATCCCATTGAATAAATAAATAAAGTAAAAGATTTTGTTAATGAAGAAAAGTAAATGATAGAATACTAAAACTGGTCTTTCAATTTTTTTTTATTTTTATTATTATTATTACTTTTTTCCTTTTTATTGTGAAATAAATTGATAATGAAAACAAATTAAAAGTGAAAAATATTTAGTCATATGTTTCATTCCTTGGTGTTGTATTTACTTTCCTGATATCGAATGTTTATGATCATCTGAATTCGTTGATTATTAACACTATTAAAAGTAATATATGATATTGCCCAGGCATTATCTCTTATAATTCATTCATTTTTCTGATGATTAAAAAAATTTTCAAAGAATTTACTTACCAGAAAAGGGTATAAATGATATTGGGTGTAAAATTGAACTACTGCCCCTGCTTTGCTTCATTCATTAAATAACGTTTCTCGGTTTGTGCCGCCAAAGTAGAACTATCCACTCTACCTTGGCTGTTCGGGAGATGCCGTGTCCTAGACACAGGTGCCAACGTTTCAGCCGTCATTCTGTGACATTCCTCGCAGCCTCCTTCCCTGCACTTCTCCCTGGGGAAGGTCGTAGAATGGCTGGCAAAGCACCTGTGCCTAGGATGTGGCTTGTTCCAGACAGCCAAGTAGTTACCATGCTTTTAACATTGCCAGTGGTACCCACTTTCAACAGTATGTCCAACAATACTATATACTCTATTTAAAAATGTATGATTTTATTTTCTTATTTCTTGTTCGTATTTGAGATTTCATTAGAGCTAGTATTTTTATTTCTACATATTTAAGTGGTTAAAATTGTCTTCAAATACTTTAATAACTTCTTTGTTTGAGTGTGTTAACATTTTGAAATTCAAAGCTGCTACCTACAGTCGCAATTAGTTTAGGGGTTTTATGCTTTTCTGAATATTTATGGTATTTGTTTGTTTTTGCTGCAGACCCGAGGGCACTCCATATTCAGGAGGTTGCTTCCAATTCGACATTTTTTTCCCATCACGATACCCATCTTCACCGCCATTAGTGCACTTTTGCACCACCGGCTTGGGCCAGGTTCGCTTCAATCCCAACTTATACGCCAGTGGCACAGTGTGTCTGTCATTATTAGGCACATGGAAAGGTCTTCAAGGTGAACACTGGAATCAGACCTCCACATTATTGCAGGTAAGCCATTGTTTCTTCCTTTCTCTTCAAGATTCAGGCAGATTTCATTTTAGACTTCATTCCAGACAGATTTGGATCATACTAATTGAAAAAATAAACAACTTGGCAACCTTAGTACAATAGAATTTTCTCAGGCAAAATTGTTGAAATTTAAAAGTGAGTGGAAACTATTATGTGGTACAAAAAGAATGTTAATGACAAATATTAAAATAGATCTTTTCATCCCATCGCATTGGTTTTACTGACATAAAAAAAATTTTAAACAAATTTAAAACCAATGTATTATTTATATTTGCTTGTCAAATATGTTTTCAATAACAAGTGATTCAACAACACCTAATGTATTATGATTTTATATATATGATTTTATAAATAAGAAATGATTTGCATGTTCTTATGTAGTATATATAATTATTTTGGGATGATAAATTTTCCAATTATGATTTTTTCCAGATTGATTTTCAGTAGTAGTGTTTTATGTATGGAAACCTTTCTATTAAAAGCAAATTGATGTAGTACATGTCTTGTTTGTAAGATATTGTTACATGCTATTATTGTGTATTACAATAATAGAAACATTTATGAACATGAACATTTTTTATTTCATAAATCCATTACAAATCCTTTTAAGTACTATTTTTAACTCTGTATATGTATATTTTATTTTGAAGGTGTTGGTGTCTATACAAAGTTTGATTTTGGTCCCAGAACCATTTTTCAATGAACCTGGTTACGAATCACTTTTGGGCACTGCGGAAGGTAATGTTACAAGTAAGGCATACAATATGGAGATTTTGCAACACACAATAAATCACGCAATGGTGAGCCAGCTGCGGAGGCCTAGTCCAGGTTTTGAAGATGTAATAAATACTCATTTTCGCATTAAAAAGGATCGTATTTTGCAGGTGTGTTTCGGGTGAATTCTTTATAGGTATTCTAGCGATATGCTGGCTATGCAGGGAGTGTGGCTTTCACTTGTTCATGAATTTCCCCACCGCGCGCTGAACATGTAGGGTGCCAACCATGCAATTCATTGCTGCTTTTCCTCGCTAATGGGCACTTCATCTGGTTATTCTTGTCATTGTGTGTATACATACCCTGTGCCTTGCAGCACCTTGGTCCACATGAGTTCGTGTACCTGTAACTGAGGTTTACATGAACAACTTTGAAACCAACAGGTGTCTCCTTCGTTGAAGACTGGCCCAAGAGGGTGTTCACCACAAGGATATAGCTATGCTCTTTGCCGAGTACTTATGGCACCAAGATTGCCAGAGATTGCATAGAGATCCGTTCTGGGATATGGTGCAAGACTTAAGAGAAATTAATTTATAAATTGTGTGCCATTTCTGCAATAAATTTGCTTAAATCTATCTTATAATAACTTTGTTTATTTCATGGGTGTCCATTGCTGTGATAGTCTTGTTTCTGTTACGTTGGTAACGCTAAGTGAAAGGGGTGTCTGAAAATAAGTGAACATCGCACACTACTCATAACCAGCAGATCACTAGAATCTCCTTATTTATTAATTTTTCTCTATTTTGAACTAGTATTCAATGAATCCTTCCCTTTTTCAGGAAATCAGAGGTCGAATGGATGGGGAAAATTCACCTGCACTGGAAAATGCCTTTGACGTTTTACAGGCAGAGTTTGAGAAATTGTCAAGTGCTCCTAGTTCCAGCCAGAAGGCTGATGATGAAATGCCTTGACCTCCATTCCCTGATAGATGTTTATTTAATTGTGATTTGTCAACAGAACTGTGATAACATTTGACTGAAGAATTAGGTATAGTTGTTAAATCTGATTGGACTAGATATCAGAATAAAATCATAATGGCATAATTGCAGAATGCTAAGGTAGTATCCACACTCGGAAATCCTGATCTGATCATGAGCTGTCATTTGTTTGAGGTATGAATTATGATGAAAGGATTGATAGAATGATTATAAGATTGTTGTATTAAGTGGAGGTCAGCTCATCCCATTTCAGTGTATAATTAAGCAATCTTAATGTCCAGAATGCAGTGGTATTACTGTTTCCTCATTTTGAAGAGACCCTATTCTGACACTTGGCATTAGAACTATCAAATAATATTTTTTACATTGAAGATTTTGTTTTTAGTTCGTCAAACCAAAACATAAATGAGAGTGATCTGCATGATGTTCAGAGTGTTGAGAAGTAAAAGGACCTATCTTATGAAATGACTGCCACAGAAGTATATTCAAACAAATAAATCGATTACTTCCTGGCCCCCACACTTCTTTTTGCAACTTAATGTGACAGTCGGTGATCTCTCTATAATGCCTTTGAATCAATATTTATACCATCTAACTGTATCCCTGCTAGTTAAAAATGTAAGAATGCAAATGTAGTAAAGAAATGTTTATTTTTTGATCATGGTGCTTATTGGAGCAGCAATGTGCAACAGCACACAGTGCACAAAATGTGCATTAATGCTTTTGAATGCCTGCTTTTCGCAGGTTTTGCTTTTTGTACATCTCTGTACCTGTGTGTTGTCTCAGTGTGTTAGCAGTTTTTTTGGATGTCAGTGTCTTTTGCCACTGCTATATGTACTACCATGTAAGGGTATGTAATGCGAATTTTTGGAATCAAATGTTTAGTGCAATGTAGTTCATGTGTTTCATGACAATCTTTTCATATTTGCTTCATATTGCATTTAATGTACAGACTAGCATACTAATGAGCGATGAATGCTCTTGTACCTGTTGCTTACAAAGTTTACAAATGTATGCAAAATAATGTGTACACTACGTTCACTTACAGTAAGGATTATTCTGAAAAATACCTGATTTATGTCATTGTTCACAAGCTGTTCTTTGTGATGTAAATCTTGAATATGAGTTTGTTCTAACCTTTTTAGAAATGGTATTTCAAATAAGCATTGACTGGCAGAAGCCAGCCTATGACATCTATGAGAATTAAAGATCCATTGATTGCATTGACAAAGAACAGAACCAACAATTCTATTTTCATGTTTAATTATTTGTTTAAATATTAAAATTAACTAACCAATTCATGTTTCATTCATTTGTATTATTGAGAAGTTTATTTTGTATTTGAAAAAACAACTAATATTGGAATTTTGGTGTTTCTTTTATTGTTAACTGATACATGAAAATCAAGTGTTTTAAAGTGCTAACTATTTGAGGCAACCAATAGCAATTAGGTTGTGATTTAATGCATGAAACATGAAATGATCTTAAGTTATGCCATCAAAATTAAAAGTAGAAGATTAATGATTCATGACAGATATCTTCAGACAAGATTTTATCATCAGTAGTACGTACATCTTGTTAGCTTTCTTGCAAATAATTTCATTGTTCAGTCATGTTGCATTTAGATATGTTTATAAATGTTTTCATAAAAATAACTTGTACATCTGAATAAAATACAGAATTTATAATGCAGTATATTTTTAATTCATTTGCACAAGAATGTACACAATTAATGTATAAAAACCATTTATATTGCAGGTAAAGAGGTAGTAGTTTGAAATCATATTAAAATTATTTTTGTTTAATAATTTGAAAGTCTAGTGAAATGAGTAGGATAATCAGTTAATTTTCCTTAATTTCTTCTTTGCTAGTTTTGAAACCTACACATTTTACTATTTTGATGAATTTAACAATGAACATCAGTTAACCTATACTTGATATACTTACTACAACGACCATCGACACTTCAAATGCTGTGGAATGTTAATGTTTGTTACCTTTGTTACATACTCTGCCTACCTTACTACTGTATTAAGCAGTATATCGAGACGATCTCTAAATTGATTTCAAAGAACCTTCATTCTTTCATTAAAGCTGAAAAATATATAACCTGAACATTTATAATTTTAAGAACTAGTTTTATTTCAAAGTTCTTTTACTTAACTGGGATCATGAACTTTTTCAGGGTATTGGCTAGTGTGAGTACTGCGAGAGTAGAAATGTCAATCTTCTTTCCCACACCCCTCATTCCTAGAGCCCAGAAATTTGGCAAAATGGCTATTTGTTATTGTTATTATGAATTGCCAAATTGCCAAAACAAGAACAGGTGGCAACCCATCATGAGTTGTGTGTTAAGTTAAAGACTCTCTATAAGCTGTTATAGCAATTACAGAGGTGAACCAAAAAGTGGTACAAATGCATGAAAACCTTCATCCAGCACTGCCTCAAGAATAATGGGACCAAAAGACTGTTTTCTGACCAATTGTAAGAACTTCTTTGATCCTTTTGACTGCAGACCTGTTTCGATATAATCTGTACCATATTCATAAATGACAATTTTTCAAAATACTCTTGTTAGCCATTTCATCAAAACTGATGACTTCACCTTCCTCCCTTCAATGATAATTTCAGTATAATTGGGCACTTTTCTCTCCTCTGGTCCTGGAATTACTACAGTAATATGGTGACTTCTATTTGGTCATTCTAGAGTGAGTGCCCAATTCTAGAAATCGTGACTTTTTAAAGGTGTTGCCACCATTTACTACTGCTTTGATAAAAGTTTGATACATAAATTTGGATTTTTGTCTTTGTCATTGTCTTAGGGTGACAGATGACTGACAGTAGTGCGTTTAGTCGTTTGTTTGCTGTCTGGATTGTCTCGTCAATCAGTCTTGTCATATTCGGTTTGCAGTCAAGTGTAATGCCTAAGTATTTGGTAGTCTTGGTCCAGTTGATATGCATTCCGTTTATTGTGAGTTGGGGAGGTGCATGGTCTCTGCGATGTCGGTGAAAAGGTATTGCGTGTCATTTGTCAGTGTTGAGTTTTTGGTGTTTTCATTTGCCCACTTCGCTACTTTGTCAAGTGAAGTCTGTAGTTCGGTCACAGAGGAGGGTAATCGTTATGTTATTGTCAGGGCTGTGTCGTCTGCACATGTAATAATTTGTGCGTGAAGTCGTCTGGAGGTCGTTCGTGCAGAGGGACATGGCATGTGTGACAGGACGGCGCCTTGAGGGACGCCGGCTTGGGAGAGGCGGGAGGGGGATGATCAAGAGAGATTATGGGTGAAAAAAGTTCGGTCGGAAAGGTAGCTTTTCAGAAGGGCGTGAAGTGAGGAATGAATGGGCTGATTTTGTACAGGAGGTTTTGGTCGTTGCTCGTGTCGAAGACTGTTGTAAAGTCAAGATCTGGTTCACTTTCCTGTAGTGGAGTCGCAAGTCTGCTGTTAAGTCTGTTTGTAGTCCAGTCGATCTGTTTTCCCGGAAGCCGAATTTAGTCGGTCTAATAGAGCTGTTGATACTGTCACCTGATGAATATGATTACTGTTATGTCCAAAACCAGTTATTTTCGTAAAAAAGTTTTATTTACAATTTACAAGAATATAGAAACGTTGTTACCAATTATCCAAGAGATATACCAGGGCTTGCAAAGTTCACTATAATCCAACGAGATGCCCCAAACGCGAAGCAGTAGTCACAATTCCAATATCCCGAAGAAAAGTCCGCAACTGGCGCCGGCAGCGTAGACACTCAACACTCGCACTTCACTAGGCTCGCGACACCGCGGGATGACGAACTGCCCCACCTTTTTGTTTTTTGGCTTAGAAAAGGTTTGTGTGCTTTGTATTGCAATGCGCACGCAATTTTGCGTTTTACTGCTATGTGTAACTGATGTGGGTTCGTGTCGGACCTTAGTAGCCAAATCGGCTTTTGTATTGTACCACGCCCTTAGAATATCAGAAGGGAGCGCTTCTCTTCTTTGCTATATTGTAAAGACGTGTGGAGCTAGCTGTTTTAGCGTTGCCGGAGCTTCGTCGGGTTGAAAGGCTTGATAGGCTTCATTAAACGAAAGCCTCAAGCATTGAGTGAAGGACTTAATATCAAGTTCCTTCCTCAGTACTTTCAACCGTTTCCGAAGCGGAGGCCGTAGAACTTTGTTTTGTAAAAGCTCAAGTGTATCCTTGTACTTCTGTGCTGTAGTCCACCTCGTCGCAGCGTAGGTGGCCACAGGCCGGCAACATGTTTTATAGAGTGCAAAGCGAAGTTCCAACGGGAGTGTAGGTTCCCTTATAAGAGGTTGTAAAAGTGGAACTGTTGTAATTTTGATCGAATTCGCCTGACAGGTAAATGCCAGCGCAGCGTTCGATCAAAAGTGACGCCTAAGTAAGTTGCCTTAGGTGCCCATGTTAGTTTTTGTATACAAAGTGTAATTTGTTTTGGTGATGTAAAAGGTTTGCGTTTGCCTCACCGCCCGCTGCTCGTCATTTTATACCCCTCAGGGCTGAGGGCTAATAGCTGCTCGCCGACTGGCCCAGCCGTACGGCCGGCGACGCGCTCGGTCGCGCCAGCTGAAGCGGGACGGTCTTAGAGAGATTCTCTATGGTGACGGTCCGCTGCGCCTGACCTCAGCAACCTCTTGTGAGCGGCGCCTGTATTTTCCTGTCGTGCCGCCGCCTCACTGCTGGGTTCCTGTGGCGGCTCTTTCAAGGGGGCGCGAGCGACTACTACTATTACAATGTTGAGTGATGTAGTTAAAGGCATCAGCGTTTGATGAAAATATATTCCCGCCCTTAAGTAAGTCATTTTTGACAAAAACTACTGATTCCTAAATCAAGAGACAAGGTAATTGTAAGATACCTAAATTGATAAAGAGACGTTTGCAAGAATCACGTAGGTGGGATTTGCTTGTTATTCGTACATTTTTTGTAATCCAAAAGTCTGAGAGCTATAAGATGTATTCCCCAGAATATTCTGCCATATCTCAGGCGGGAATGAACATTCGCGAAATATACACAACGAGCAGTGTGGAGGCTGATTGAATTTGAAAGAATTTTGAAAGCGTAGCATAAAGAAGTTAATTTAGTGTTCAATTTAAGGTTTGAATTAAAATACCTAAAAATTTTGTTACCTTAACATCAGTCAATGGCACACCGTTCATTTTCAATGGAGTACAGAGCTGTTTATTTGAATGTAAAACTGCATTGAAACCGTTTTCTTTTTATTTACTATTAATTTGTTATTACGGAACCAATTTGAAATATCTGGTAGTGTACTATTTACGGTTTCTTTACTGCAAAGAATATTCGTATCATCCGCAAAGAGAACTGTTCTTCCGTTTCTAATCGTCGAGGGCGTATCGTTTACGCATAGTGGAAAGAGAATAGGGCCTAAAATCGATCCCTGAGGGACTCAACATGCAATTGGCAAAGAATCGGAAAGATGTGTACATAATGTTCAATTATTCCAGTTATGTTTACTCTCTGAGATCGTTGTTTAAGGTATGAACATAAAATATCTAGAGCAATACCACAAATCCACTCATCCACCAATCTACTCATGTGTATTATTTAATGTGCCAGTGTTCACATTTCTTATATTGGTAAGAATTTGTTAATCGTGATCACTGTATCCTTAATGTTTTTTGTTTTTTTGTTCAATTTTATAAGGAGTACTGGCTATATAGAATGAGAAGATATATTATTTACAAAATCGATTGAAAGCTAGTACTTACGAAGTTTGGCAATGGAGTTATGTAGATTGTTGTCCACTAAAATTGCTACTATTTAATACAACCAGTAGACTATACTTTACTGTAAATAGATAAAAGATATTAACTGAATTTTTTTCTGTGAAAATATAGAATAAAATATTAAAAACTGTTCGATACATCGTCCTCGTAAAGTTGAAATTAACGGAATCGACACTCGTCCCAGAAATTTAATAAAATATTCCAGCAATTAAAGTAGCACAGTGATATAATACCGAAAATAAACAGAACTGTTAATAGGGTTTGACACTTATCACCAACTCGTAAAACTTAATTTCGTTTAGGTTCTAGTAACACTTTAAAGTTTGTTATTTTTTGAATTGTCTTGGTTATAGCAAAAAAAACTAGACGAAATTATATTTCCAAGTATTATTCAACAAGTAATGAACCACTTAAACACACCAAATATAATCAAATCGCTAAAAAATAGTAGACAAAGTCAAAAAATTCAAGAGCACAACCAGATGCGTCAGTCTCGTAAGACGGCGTCAATCAGTCGAACTTTTTGATGTAATTTTGATCGAATTCGCCTGATATGTAAGTGCCAGCGCAACCTTTAATCAAATGTGACGCCTAAATAAGTTGCTTTAAGCGCCCATGTGCGTTTTTGTGTGTCAAGTGTAATTTGTTTTGGTAGTTTAGTGTATTTGTGTTTGCGGTTGGTGCAACAGATTGCCTGCGACTTTTCCTCTGAGAAAGTGAAGTGGTTTTGTTCCGCCCTCTTCAACGTCTGGTTCATCTGTTTTTGAAGTATTTTTAATTTGTGGTCTAGGTTTATTCCTCTTGCTAATACGACTATGTCATCAGCGTAAAGGGAAAGCCGTATTCGGGGTGTATGTGAGATGTCATAGAGATACAGCGAGAACAGTAGCGGAGAGAGGACTCCGGCCGCAATCCTCCGCTTTGAGGATCTCGCTTTGACCACGAATGCGCGGTTTGTGAGGAAAGACTTAATCATTTCGGTTACGTCTTGTAGAAGGCAGCGCTGAAGTTTTGTGATGAGTGTACTCTGTGGCAATTTGTCAAAGGCTTGCCTCTGTATACCTCATAAATCTCCTGTATTACCATCTCCGCCATCAACATTCAATCAAATTCAAAAATAATCTTATTTTATGTGATACTACTAATATTCAACGTTTGTTGATTATACGTGATATAATGTATGTATATGAAGAATGGATTTGGATCATTTTTTAAAAACAAAACAAATTAATCATCCACAACATCTTTGAGAATGGTTATCGTTTTTACCAGCAGATTTTGGAGGAATGACAGTATTTTATCAACAACAAAACATTTTCAAGAAATGGGTTTACCACAATAATAAAAAATAAAGTCAATATTGAATTTTA